AAAGTTACTTTAAGCTTGTAACATTCTTCTGATGAAAATATTAGAACAGGATAAGATTTCGCAGGAAATAAATATAGTCAAATTAACTTGAGTAGATTCGACGAAAAAATTGACGTACAGACTTTCATATTTTTATAAAACAAAATAATAATTTAACAATAATGAAATTTTTCACAAAATTATTGTACTTTGATATTGATATCACATGTCACACTAAAATGATATAATATTAGCATTTGAACATGATATTTAAAACAAACTTTGTTTCACTATCTATGTTTCTCTATCTTATATTATTAATATTATTAATGAAAACAGCGAGCCGTATGGGTTACTTAATTATAAAGACTATTATATGCAGAACACACACACACACACACACACACACACACACACACACACACGCGCGCGCGCGCGCGTATGTATATAAGAATTGTAATAACAGGGAAAGATCTAATATTATTAATATTATTATATATATTATCTAATATTATTTTGTGACATTATAAAACTTTTAAAGATGTAGTTTAAAATTACGAATTAGCAACGATATATTCATTTGCATATGATTATCTTTAAGCATATGATTATCTTTAATATGAAAATCTATAATTCCTTATCAAATATCATATTTTTTAGATTTTTATGTAACAATAAAGTAAGTTTCTGAAATCTAACAAAAACGAGAAAATATTATATATTAAGCTATACGTACGAGAAAGTAATCCGTCGATTTGCACATAATTTGTACAAAAAAGCTTATATTAACAATATTTATGCCGCTAAAGTGAAATAATTTTAATATTAATAATCCGTAATTATCATAATTATTTCAGTTTTACGTTTATCCTAAACGAATAATTCTTTAAACATGTCACAACATATATTTCATTAAAATAAATTATAACACTCTGCTTTATGAATTTATATTATTTCACACTATTCTAATATATGTTTTAAACAACCGAGATCTTTCAGTTGCAATAACGTGTCAGCAAGTATTTTACATACTTTGTCGCCGCCATCATATTTATGATGCTCCAAATATTTCACCATACCCATCCTTACTATCTCTCCTCTGAACGTTTCCGGCTTGCGACATCCCAATAATAATGGTACATGATAAGAAGCGATCACGAAGCCGAAAAGAGCACCTTTCCTGTAATCTTCCAATATAGCTTCGTAAGAGTACTTTTTGACATCCCAAACGCCAGCCTCCAGCAGATACTTTTTTAATTCCTCGTGATACGCTCGCATAACCTCGAAGAACCTCTCTTTTCTCAATTGCGAGCAATGCAGAAGCAGATACGTGGAAAGATCGACGACAGGAGTCGAGTATCTGAAAAATGCGAGGTCAATCGGCATCGCTCGAATTTGTCCATCGTCCTTTGTCCTAAAAAGACAGTTATCCAGTGTAAAATCGCCGTGACATAAGGTGGACAAGGGCTCCAATGGTTCCACCGTTTTCATCATCACTTCGTCAAACGCGTTCGAAAGTACGGCTTCCATCTTGTCGCAGAAAACTGTGTCGTAGCCCTGACGGCGAAGATATTCCACCGCTCGCGGCGAATTAATATTACAAAGATGTATATAAATATTTGGCGTTTTTTGAAGATATTTAACTTCCTGCAATCGTGACACAATATCGAAGAATTTTTCTGGCTGCAGTTCCTTCATAGCGTACCCTTTCCCATGGAATCGTCCCATCTCGCGTATTACCGCCAACGTGTATTCTAAAGGAGCATGGTATTGATGAGGACAAGGATATTCTCGTTTGGTTACATCTTCTAGAACGATCACCGTGTCAGAGAGTGGTTGTTTCTTCGCGTAAATGCATCTCGCGTAGTTTTCGTCCGGTCGGGCATACATTTGATAAAACAAAATTTCATTGTTAAATTGAAATTCAGGGCGAATAGTATATTCTCCCAAATATTCCTGCAAGGGTCTTTTCAATACAATAGACAATTCCTTATTCTCTCCTCTCGTTTTGTTTTCTGCAGAAGTACAAAGTGAATTGTGGTCATAGCTCTATCATTGGATTTAAGTAATTCGTACTGAACTTTGTCGACATCCAGTTCAAGTTTCTCAATAATCTTTGACATCACTTCTTTAAACCATTTCTGAAAATCTTCGTTTTGCACCATTTTATATCTTTTTCTAATATTACCAGTCGTATTACCAGTCTGTAGGCAAACGTGTAAATTCCTCGATAAGCTGGATAGCACTGACAGATCTTTATCAAACAGATATTAACTAACTCATGTAAGTAGGAAATGGAAATGGTAGTTTACGTGAAGAGTAGGGGAAGTATGTTTGTATTGCATGTGTGTATTGCAATATTGTGTAATTCATTCCAATTACGTACACGCTACATGTGCAGTTATGCAGAAAAACAATATTTATTATTTGCGCATGAAATTCATAAATAATTCATTGAAAATATTGCCTTAGAAAAAATTACGGTCAAACATACAAAGCTGTCTTAATTATTAAAATGCGTTTAATAAAGATACTTAGTGTTGAATGTATCAGATGATTACAAATACTATATATTTAAAATTTTTTATTTGAATCAATTAATGCGTAAATATCTGATATTTATAATTTTATTATTACCAACTTCTTTTTAATTTATATATATATATATATATATAAGTACAAACATAAACATACCGTATGTGTCGATGTCCAGATCAAGATTATCGATAATCTTCGACATCATTTCTTTAATCCATTTTTTACATTCTTTATCCTGTGCCATTTTTTTGCTTTATACACATCAACTGAATGTTAACACGAGCGTGATTTAACGATTAAGGCAAACTTATTCCTCAGTAGATTGGACAGTACTGATGGACAGTACCCTAAATATATAACTAATTAATTTATATAAATAGGAAATGTAAATATGAATTTAACATGAAAAGTGGGGGATGTATATTATTAATATATCGCCATTAGTGGGCTACGCACATAGCTACAATGTGCGGATATGCAAAAAAACAGTATTTATTATCAGTATATGATATAAAAGATTCATAATTAATTAGAAATATTAAAAATATTTGGAAAAAAGTTACGGACATCCGAAATTGTTTTCATTATTTAAACCGCTTAATAAAGTTTAATAAAATTATCGAACGCATGTAGTTGGTTAAAAATATTACATTTTAATTTTTTATTTGCAATTACGTAAATATTTGAAATGCGTAATTTAACTATTACATTTATATTTTGTAATATTTATTTTTAACTTATATATTCACACATTAATACAAGCATATGTATATATTTACATATTACACATACAATGCTTGTAAATCGATCAGTATAACTGTGACGAGCAGAAATTATTTTTTTACAGAAGTTTTTAAAAGCATTATTGCAGAAATATTTCTATAATATCCGTATGTATTGCATATAATCAGTATCAGCAAATTCTGTTTAACTAACTAATCACGGAATATTACTTAATATAGTTACTTAACAATTAATTACAATATCCAGTTATTTTAAAGTCATCACATCTTTTTGACGAAAATATAGTGACATAAAAAGAAAGATTTCAAGTATAATAAAAGAAAACCTACGGAATGAATGCAACTTTGATTCGTGAATGTGTTCTGCCACTTATATTTTAATAAAATGAAGTAACTTTTGTGACGAGAATTTTTAAAAACTATTGCGCATTGATTCCGATATCACATCCTATGCCAAAATGTAATGATGATATTAGTAACGTGAGGAAATAAATTATATTTCACTATTATCTTATATATATGATCAATATTATTAAAATAAAAAGCGAATAGGTAAATCTCAAATATAGTAACCATTATTATAAAATTTATAAGATTTGCTTCAACTTATTTGAAAAAATAAAATAAAATACTGTTTTTGTATACTTATGTAACATAAATATTCTGTATGAAATTTATATTATTGCATTTCTTTCTATGGTTATTTTTTTAAGAAATGAGCAAAATAAATTAGAAATATATATAAAAGTAGGTAAATAGTGTTATTATTAAATTTTTATTAAAAGTTGAGAAATAAACCAAAAAAACAAAATTAATATAACAAATACAAGACAACAAAACAAAACAATGATTAATTTTAAAGTAATGTAATGGCTATAAATAATGCATTATATAAATTATTATAAATAATAGAATATTTATTATTTGAAAATTATTGATTTGTAATTTGTGTCTATTTGTTACACTTGTTTATTTGATTTAAATTGTTTTAAATTTATACATTGTGATTACTCATTTTTAACAATCTACAAAATTATGACATTATAAAAATTATGACGTTATAAAATAATATTTATATAAAAAATTTGTACAAAGAATATTTTAAATTGCTAATTGTTTGTAAAGCTTTTAAGGCTTCCACGGTTACTATTTTCAAAAAAGTTAATATGATTACAGGTATTATTCGTGTTATTATTAAATGCCAACGTTTCTTGAACATTGCAGTTCACATCATCAGGGCTATGGGCAACCTGATACTGTATATGCCAAAAAAAATCTTTGTATTTATACAAGAAATATACTTGTACGTATATAAGAATAACATTTTTGTGAATATTTTAGAGCAATTTTTGAAATAATAAAGTGCTATTTGTTAATACAGAAGCAAACCTTGTTGTTGAATCTTTCGTAGAACAAAATTTCGTTGTAGAATTGGAAGACTTATCTGTCTGAGGAATTATTTTTACACTTTCATTTAGCTATGAAGTAGATTTTTAACATATTGCCTTGTAAAAAAATCATTGGTTTATTCGTATGAAAAAGTAATGCTATTTTGAAGAGAATTCGTAGAAAAATATATATTATTTCAATTGTGTTGATGAAAGCGACATAATTTTCTGAGATAATATTATCAGCTATATAACTGTTATAATTATTTAATTTTACATTAATTCTCCAGAGTACGTAATTATTTAAATATCATTCGATATGTACTTCACTAAACATTAATGAATACTAATTTATTCTTTATACATCTATATATTATTTCATATTATTCTAATATATCTTTCAAACAGCCAAGATCTCTCAAATGCAATAACATGTCGGCGAGCATTTTGCATAGTTCATCTCCGCCATCGTACTTATGCTGCTTCACATATTTAATCAAACCTATTGTTATGAAATCTTGCTTATTTGGTTGGAAATATCCCAATAATATCGACATATACAGGGAAGCGATAACAAAACCGAAAAGACCACCTCTCTTGTAATCGTCTAATATAGCTTCGTAAGAATATTTCTCAATATTCCAAACGCCAGCCTCTAGTAAATATTTTTTCAATTCGTCGTGATACGCTCGCATTATTTCCAAAAATTTATCTTTCCTCAATTCATTCGGGCAACCTATATGCAGGTACGTGGAAAGATCGATGACGGGAGTCGAATATCTGAGAAGTGCAAAGTCAATTAGCATCGCTCGAACTTGTCCATCATTCTTTGTCCCAAAAAGAATATTATCCAACGTGACATCGCCGTGACACAAGGTGGACAGGGGCTCCAGCGGTTCCACCATTTTCATCATCACTTCGTCAAATGCGTTCGCAAGTACGGCTTCCATCTTGTCGCAGAAAACGGTATCGTAGCCTTGACGGCGAAGATATTCCACTGCTCGCGGTGCATAAATATTACAAATATCTTTGTACATGTTCATTGACGTATTAAAATATCTAACCTCTTGCAATCGTGATACAATATCGAAGAACTTTTCCGGCTGCAGCTCCTTCATAGCGTATCCTTTGCCGTGGAATCGCCCGATCTCGCGCACCACCGCCAACACGTATTCTAAAGGGGCGTAATACTTATGCGGACAGAGATGATATCCTCTTTTTGTGACGTCTTCTAGAGCGATCACACTATCACTGGGCGCTCCTTCGTTTGCGTAAATGCATCTCGCATAGTTCTCATCCGGTCGAGCATACGTTTGGTAAAACAGAATTTCGTTGTGAAATTGAGAATCATCACGAGTACTATATTCTCCCATATCTCCCCGTTCCTGCAAAGGTCTTTTCAATACAATAGACAGTTCATTATCCTCTCCTTTCGTCTTGTCTTTGAATCGCAGAACTACGAAGTGTATGCTAGTCATCATTCTGTCGGTGGATTTAAGTAACTTATACCGAACTTCGTCGGCATCTAGTCCAAGTTTCTCGATAATCTTCGACATCACTTCTTGAATCCATTTTTGAAAATCTTTGCTGTTACACATTTTATTCACTCTACGATTAAATCTTATTCCAGTTTTAACGCGATTGTGAATTGTTGATTGATACAGATTTATTCCTCGTTAGCTGAAGAATACTGATGTGTAGTACTTACTTCAAATAGATCATAACAACTGATACGAATAGAAAGTAACAATATGATTCTAGCTTAAAGAGTGGGAGAAAGATATTTTCTTGACATTGTGACTTATCAACAAGACACATTATGACAAGCGGAAAAACAATGCTTGTTATTGTCTTATTTACACACTCTCAAGAGAAATCTTCTTGAGAAGATTCACAATTATAATGATAATAAATGTTAAAAAACAAAGAACATTTTGGAAATAATGCGTCGACAATCATTCGAAATTATTTTAATAGTTAGATATCTAAAACATTGGTTGATCAAAAATTTATATTTTAATTTTTCGTTTGATTAAAATCAATTATATTAATACATATTGATTTTAACTTAATTAGTAACTTATTCGTAATTTAGATATTCGTTATGTAATTACGACATTAGTAATATGATACGTGAAACGAAAGAGTTAGAAAAAAGGAGAAAGGAAATTAAAAAAAAAGAAAAGACATTGAAAGAAAGAAAGAAAAACAATGAAAAGAAAATGGAGATAGATGCGTAGTACAAAAAAATACAATGAAATTATATAGATAATTAAATGATATAAAGCGATAACGTGTATAAGGGCGAATAAATGTTAAGCGTTTAATATGTTGACAAAAAAAGACTCATAGAAAGTATTAGGAATTATTTATTGTAAATTAGATAATTAGTTAATGGATGAACAAATGAGTGTGGATAAGAACATGATTGTAAAAATCGTTTCTTAGTGATGTAAACTAATGAAAAAACAAATATTCTATTTTATTATATCTATAAAAATGATTTATTAAAGGTTATTCTGTTTCCATTGTACATTTCTATGATATCTATCTAGTCAATTAATTGAATTTTTTTCTATTTAAATGTGATTGATAGTAATTAACAGTGTTACATTGTACTATGAAATAGTATTTTTTCTGAAAAATATGTAAAGCAGCTAAGATTTCTCGATGCAGCAACACTTTAATTAACATCTTGGACATGTCATCTTTACCTGTTTATTATAATTTTCTCCGATGAGCTCCTTAGTTTCCTGCATCGCCATTACATCTCATTAATACTAGTAAAAAAAGAGATTACGACAACGAAACCGAAGAGAGCATCTCTCCTAAAATGGAACTGAATAGAATCTTAAATGAATATTTCTCGATAATTAGATTCAACTATGTAACTCTGTAACAAATGCTTCTTCAATTAAGCGTTATAAATTTGTATTATTCTCGGAGAACTTATCTTTCCTCACTTTATTCAACAAAGTAGAGATACGACGAATCAATCATAGGCATCATATATCTCAAAAGTGACATTCAACAAAAGTTTCGATCAACATTGTTCAGTGCTGTCTGTCATTTTTGTTCTGAAAAGAATATAAAATCATCAGGGTGTAATGTGGACAGATACGTCTGCGGCTCCAATGTTTTCCTCATCATTTTGTCAAATATATTCGAAAGTAAAGTATTCCGCTTTATTGCAGAAGATTGCGTCATGACCGTGATAGATATTCCACCACTCACATCTCAGATTGATATGAACTGCAGTATCGTTTTCTATCTTTTTATCGTATCTAGTTTCTCGAAGTCTTATTCCACAAGAGCGAAAAAATTTCTTTCACTGCAGGTTCTTCATGATCTTTACCATAGAATCATTCTAACTCGCGAATTACTGCCGATGTAAATTCCAAAAGAACATTTTACTTATATAGACAAGAATAATAATCTTGATTATTGATATCTTTAAAAATAATTACCCAATCAGTGGACAATCGTCCATGTAAACGCATCTCGTAGTTTTTGTCCGATTGGGATATACATTTGATAAAATAAAATTTCGTTGTGAAACTGAAAATCAGTGCGAGTATGTCTTTGCGGGAGTTTTTTTTTTTTTTTTTTAATATAATAGACAGTTCCTTGGTCTGATTTTTTGTTTCGTTTTTTCAAACTGCAGAAATATGATATGCAAAGTAGTCAGTTAGTCTATTTTTATGGATGGAATTCAGATAACACATATGCTGACTTTCAGTTCAAGATCATCGATAATCTTTTCGACATCATTTCTTTAATCCACTTATCTATTGTGAGACAGATTATATTGTCCTCAACTATCTACAAGAATATATCAGCCATATTTGAGTTGAATGTCAACGCAAATGTGAGTTATCGATTAACGATAAATTCTTCACTTTTCGATAGATCGGACATTTGATTAACAATTTGTCCTTCAAATAGATGACTAACTTATGCAAATAGGAAGTGCAAATATAAAACAGGAGAATATTAATATATAGTGGCGAAACTGTGGAACTTGCCGATCTGCATTATCACAATGTGCAGATATACAAAAATATATTATTTATTATTAGTGCATGACATGGAAGATTTGTGATGTTTGAAAAATTAAAAAATTACTTTGGAAAAAAATCACGGACAGAATCGTCCAGAATCATTTTAACTATTAATGATAATATGACTAAAAAACATCTGACATGTTAATTATTATTATTTATTTGCAATTTATATATAGAATATGTTGCTATATATATCTACGCTATTACGTAGTCATAATAGCTCATATTTATATTTTCGAAATATTTATTTTGTACATACATATTTATACGTCACACAAGTAGACAAGCATAAATTTACATTTATTATAAACATGAAACCTATAGATTGCTAGTACGATTATGATGTTTTTTGTATTTTCTTTCTTTCACATAAATGTTAAGTTTCAATATTGCAGAAGTACTTTCTTTTCTTGTTATATCTATTTTATATTTTATATTTTATATAATCATTAGTAAGTAGCAATTTTTACTATAACTAATTATGAAAGATAATATATAATATAGAGTTCATCCAACAATTTAATCAGTTTATAATAAGCAATTATTTTTAAATTCTAACTGATGAAAATATTACACCATAGAAGAAAGATTTTGAATAGAGAAAGATGAGTAGATCCAATGAGCATAGTTCGACTGACATACACTGATGTGTCTAAGTGTTCACAGTTTTACAAAATAAAATAAGTAGTATAATAGTAGCATAATTTTTGCGAGACTTACGAAACTGTTAAATACTGATTTTGATATCATATTATACATTAAAATGTAATCATGATATTAACAATTGAACATGATACATGGAACAAATTGAACATGATACATGGAACAAATTGAACATGATACATGGAACAAATTTCACTATCACATTTTTTATTAATATTTATATTATTAATATTATTAATATAAATAGCGACCCAATTAGTTTATACAATTATAGAAACTATTCAATTACAGAATATATTAGATTTGAGAGGATTCCCCTCATAATACTATTTTTATGTCTATTTTAAGTTAAATATTCTGTAATAATTTACATGTTATTATATCTCTCTTAATTGTTCTTCCTTCATAAAAAATGAGCAAGATAAATTAGAAATATATATATATATAAGTTAATGTTCATCATTAAATTTTTATAAATATTAAAGAGATAGACGAACGTGATAAACAATAAATATATGACCAGAATAAAATAAAGACAGTTTTTAAAAGAATATAAAAGATGTAAACAATTCATCACATTTACAAAATCATATTTACATCGAAATTATTACATTGATTGAAAATTTATGTATATCTATTACATTTGTTTATAACTATGCATGTCTGTAACTTGTATTTTCGTTTAAATTTTATAAAATATACATGTGATTATTGATTAGTAGTAACCTAATGTTACGATATGTTTAAAAAAATAAATAATAATATAAATAATGGTATGATAATAAAAAATGATGGTCGGATATACAAAAACATTTTATACGATCAATTACGATTACAATCTTTATTTGTTAAATTTTTTCTTTTGATAAATCTTATACAATTTTTTTAAGTCTTGTGCAACTTTTTTATACCGTCCGATTAATGTATCCTATTGATAGTAAAAAGGAAAATACATCCGGTAAAATAGGATTTGATTGTAGAGTTAAAAGTTACTGCAACGTATTCGTTTAAAAAATTCGATTATATTAATTACTATTACAAATATGGAAAGTAAACGTTGGAAAGTAAACGTTTCTATAAAATCTGTATACAATACAAATATAAAGAGAATTATGTATTCATGACAGGAAAAAACCAAATATTATTCTGTAATATTATGACACTTTAACAATTCAATACAATATGAAACTACAAAACATAATTTATATGTATTTTCATTAATTTTAAAATAAAGAAAGAACATATAATTTCTCATATAATTAGACATATTAATCATATTATTTATATTAATATTAATATTAATATTAATTAACTAGACATAATTAATATTTATATTAATATTATTATAATTAGACATAATGAAACATAATTATTTGTCACATAATATTTTTCAGATTTTTGAGTAAGTTTTGATAAGCTAACTCGCAGAAAATAATTAATCTATTTGTGTGAAAGAATAATTCATCAATTTAAAAACAAATCGTGCAAAAGCGTTTACACGTTATTTTAGTTGCATCGTATAATAAAAGAAAGTGGCATAATTTCGTGAAATAATCTAAAACTCTTGATTAATAATTTTAGTAGTCTTGTGATTATCTTAGGTACGTGATTATTTAAACATCTTTTAATGTGTATTTCATAATCATTAATGGGCAAATCTATTTTATAAATTTGTATTATTTCACACATTATATTTTTCTGTAAAATGTTTCAAACAACCAAGGTCTCTCAGCTGCAATAACATGTCAGCAAGTATTTTACATATTTTGTCTCCACCGTCATATTTATGTTGTTTCAAAAAAATTTACTGCGCCAATTTCTTTCATATCTTGTACAAGTGTACTTGAATTTATATATCCCATCATTATTGGCATATAAAAAGAAATAAGAACAAAACCGAAAAGACCGCCTCTCTTATAATCGTCCAGTATAATTTCGTAAGAATATTTTTCGATGTTCCAAACGCCAGCCTCTGGCAGATATTTTTTTAGTTCGTCATGATATGCTCGTAAAATCTCGAAGAACCTGTCTTTTCTCAATTCATTCGAACAACTTATATGCAGGAACGTGGAAAGATCAACAACCGGAGTCGAATATCTGAAAAATGCGAAGTCAATCAACATCGTCCGAATTTGTCCATTATCCTCTGTCTTAAAGAGAATATTATCCATTGTAAAGTCGCCATGACATAACGTGGATAACGGCTCCAGCGGTTCCACCAATTTTTTTCATCACCACGTCATACGCGTTCGAAAGTACGTCTTCTTCGATCTTATCGCAGAAAACTGCATCATAGCCGTGTCGGCGAAGATAGGCCACCGCTCGCAGCGAAAAAAATATTGCAAGCAATGCCGTGCATGGTCGTCGACGTCTTAAGATATCTAACTTCTTGCAATCGTGATACAATATCGAAGAACTTTTCTGGCTGTAGCTCCCTCATAGCGTATCCTTTGCCGTGGGATCGTCCCATCTCGCGCACTATGTCGCCAAGATGTGTTCTAAAGAAGTGGAATACTTTTGCGAACAAGGATAATATCCTCGTTTCGTGACGTCTTTTCTAGAGCGATCACGGTATCGATGGGCGATTGTTCGTTCACATAGATACATTTCGCGTTTTCATCTGTTCGGCCGTATACATTTGATAAAATATAATTTCGTTGTGAATTTGAGACTTAATGTAAGTACTAATGGCAGCAATGTTATATTCTGTCCCTGTAAAGGGACTTTTAATACAAAAGGCAATTCTTCGTTCTGATCTTTCGTTTTATTTTCAAACCGTAGACTTACGAAATGTAGAGTGGACATTACTTTCTCGATGGATTTAAATAATTCATATCGAACTTTTCGTCAGCGTCAAGTTCGAGATTCTCAGTAATTTTCAACATCACTTTTTTAATTCATTTCTGAAAATCTTCGTCGTGAGCCATTTTATTTGCCGCAAGTGTGATCGAGTAGTCGTATGCGAGTATCAATATAAACGTGAATTATCGATCAATGCAAACTCATTCCTCGATAGATCGGACAATACTGAACGGCTCTTCTCTTATACAGAAACACACTAACTTCTGAAGGTACGAAAGTGTACAAATATATAAAATAAAGTTACCATTATGAGTGGGAGAAGTATATTAGTGTTTTGCAATATTATGTAATTCAAAGTATGTATGTTAAAAAATTGTATGAGATATGCGAAAGAAGAATATTTATTATTAGAACATGACATGGAAAATTCGTAATTAGTTGATTAAGAATAGTTGCTTTGGAAAAAGGTTTCGGACAGGCATCGTTTTAAATATCATGATAATGAAATCGATTATCGATTATTAAACGCAGTTGATAAAAAATATTATATTTTATAAAATATAATATTTTAATTTATGTTTCCTTTTTGCTATTCCGTAAGATACAAATAATAGAGCAACTATAAAGATTAAGTTATCATTTCTTATGACGACTATCTTAGCGACAATTAGGTGATGCTGATTTACACTATATTCCTATTTTATACTTAAAATTATTATGAGAAAAATAAGAAAGAAAAATATGTAAATAAAATAATTTCATAAAGTTATAAACATGTAAACTTAATATTTATTAATACTTAATATTTATTAATAATGCACTCATTATTGTTTCAGTTACGCAATTTGCAAAAAAAAATGGTAAAAATTTAATTGTAGCATTTGAAAAATCTGCTTTTAGCTGATTTTATATAGAAATAAATGAATATATGAGTTATGACTTTTTATTTCTTTAATTATTTAAATAGATCATGTTTTTCAATATTAATAAAATGTAATCTCTAATTTCTGAAAAATAAAGGATCTTTTTCTTAGAAGATCTATATTATCAATTATTTTCCTCTAATTATTCTCATTTAAATCTTTAGTAAACTTAAAAAAATAAACGAAGAAAATGAATTCAATAAATAATAAATAATAAAAACAATACCTATATGATAGAACAATAAAATAAAATAGTTTATTTTAAGATGTTGTAAAGCTTGTAAACAATTTATAACATAACAATATGTTTATTATATTAAAACCATTACATTGATTTGAAATTTGCGTTACACTTGTTTATGAGTGTGCATATTTAATTATATTTCGTTATTTCATTTATGAAATTTATACATCATGATTATTGATTAAAACAATCTACAACGATATGTTATAAAATAATATTGTTCAGTCATAAAGAATATTTTATACAACGAACGTTTTGTTACGTTTTGTTTTTTTGATGAATCTTACAAATTTTTCTTCTTTACATATCCTATCCATATTTAAAACTAAAATATATCCAGTAAAACAAAATCTCGTTATTGAGTCGAAAGTTGTGATTTATCCATCTAAAGAATTCGAGTCACATGAACTTTTACAATTATATTAATGATAATTGTTTTACTAAATATCATTCAAATCACTCACGATATACGAGTTACACAATACAAGTAAAGAAATGTAAGGCTTATGAAAAAATGTAATATTATTTTGCAACTTTATGAGACTCTTAACAATATGTACAATTTAAAAAACTACAAATTTCCACGTTGTATGTAATTATTTCTAAAATAATGTAAAGACGTATAATTCATTTCTTATATAATATTTTTCAGATTTTTATCTAACAATAAAGTGACTTCCTATAGCTAATCCGTAAATAGAAAATAAATTGTTAAACTATCTGTGCGAGAAGATAGACCTGACGATTTGAAGAGAATTTATACAAAATATTTACATTATTATTTAATTATATTGCTGAAAGTGAAAATTATAAAATAATATTATAATATAACGATCCATAAGAATTTAAATAATATTATAATATATATTATATTATAAAATAATATTATAATATAACGATCCATAAGAATTTAAATTTTACAATCATCTCATCAGACTCCGTGATTAGCGTATCCTTTGCCTTTATGGAATCGCCTCATCTCACGTATACCATCGCCAATGTGTATTCCAAGGGAGCATTGATGACTACAAGAATGATATCCTCGTTTGGTGACGTCTTCTAGAGCAATCACTGTGTCGAAGAGAGGTTGTTCCTTCGCGTAAATGCATTTCGCACGGTTTTCATCAGGTCGGGCATACGTTTGGTAAAACAGAATTCAATTTCGTTGTGAAATTCGGAGAATCACCATGAATAGTGTATTCTCCCATATGTTCCTGCAAAGGTCTTTTCAATTGCAATAGACAGTTCGTTATCCTCTCCTTTCGTTTTGTCTTCGAATTGCAGAAGTACGAAGGCTAGTCATTCCTCTATCGATGGATTTTGAGTAATTCAGAGTACCGAATCGAATTGTCGGCATCTAGTCCAAGTTTCTCGATAATCTTCGACATCACTTTTTGAATCCATTTTTGAAAATCTTTGTCGTGACACATTTTACTCGCTCTACGCTCTTTAAGTCTTATTCGAGTGTTAAGCGCGATCGATGAATTACTTGGTCGATACAAATTTATTTCTCAGCAGTTGGAATAACACTGATGTACAGTGCTAGTTATAAATAGACTAACGAAGACTAACGCGACTACGCATATGTAATATTAACTTAGGAACTTAGGAAGGGAGATAGTAATGTTTTGAAGTCATATCTATTCTTGTCGCGATATATAGATATAAATAAAAAATAATGTCTATTATTGCCTCATTGAAAACTCACTCTCACGGACACTCTCTTTGAGTAAACTCACAGTTGATTGATTAAATAATAGTGCACACTAATAAAATAATGCATTCGGTCGAAATTGTTTTAATGATTATAATGTGAGTAGTAACGGTATCCGGTATGTACAATAACATATATATTGATTATAAAATTATATTTTAATCTTTCGTTTGGACTTAAGTTAATATCGATCAATTGTAAGTATAACTTGGTAATATTTATACTTAATATTTATTTGTAATTTAAATGTTTGTAATGACCACAAATAATTGACTATAATATATGTGAAGCAAAAATATCATTGTTACATGTTCATCAGTATTACAAATAATCAATCTGAAAATTTGTTTAATTATAATAAATATTGTTGTTATAGAATGATAGATTTACAATGATATACAATGATAGATTTATTTGAATTTATGAGAAATATTATTTTTATATTTTATTTTAAGATAAATGCTTTGTATAGGAATAAAATTTTATTTTATCATATCTTTCTCAACAACTTTTCTCTTTTAAAGATAAGCAAAATAAATTAAAAATATATGTAGATGTATCAGTAGTGTTCAACGTATAGTACATTATTATAATATATGAAAAGTGATAACAATACCTCTCGTGAGCGAATAGAGCGGCTTATGTTGAATAAATTATATTAAACAGATTATATTGAATTTTGCGATTTTTTTGTATTAATTAACCAATCATTAATTTATACAGATTCGCGAATGAACGAACATTTGCGAAGAAAAAGAATTCTACGCTACGCAGAAAAAGAACTCTACGCTACGCATATTTACGGTTGCTAGACGCATAGTAAATGTTTGGATACGAAATGTTTGTACAAATGATAGAGTATTTGTTTATAGTGCACGCCTCCAAATATATTGCCACGCTTAGCAATTATAAACATAGCGCATAGCGCTAAGCTGTTCCTCCCTCGCGAACCTATATAAATTAATAACTCTTTTTATTGCGAAAATTGTAAAATGGTGTAAGGTTTTTTTGTTCAATATAAACCGCTCTATTTGCTCGTGAGAGATGATACCATTATTACCAGATATCCTATATAAACATTTATTGAAATTAAAGATATAAAGAGAGATAAGCAAAAAACAATCAAATTAATAACAAGTAACAAAAACGATAAATATATAATAAAATAAAATAAAAGATAATTCTAAGATATTTTAAAGATTATAAACAATTTATTATATTAAAACTATTACATCAATGTGCAACTTATGTTATATTTTTATTATACTTTCAACAACGATCTGCAAATTATGTATTATATATTTTTAATTATGTACATTTCTGTAATATGTAATTTCTGTAATTTAGTTAATTAATTAAATTTTTTTTAATTGTGTTACGATTATCGATGATTTACATTAGGATGTGCTATGAAGTAATATTTTTCGATTCTGAAAAATATTCAAAGCAGCCAAGATCCCTCAGATGCAGCAACATATCAGCTACTATCTTGGATATTTCATCTCCGCCCAACTGTTTGTTAAGATTTGCTGCTTTGATGAGTCCTGTGCTTGGAAAGTCTTCTGGATCTTCGTATCCCATTAATACTGGCAAAAACGAGGTTGTGATGACGAAACCAAAGAGACCTCCTCTTCTGAAATCGTCTAGCAGAGCCTCATACGAGTATTTCTCAGCGTCCCAAATATCAGCCTCTGACAAATACTTCTTCAACGCATCGTGATAAGCCCGCATTATTTCGGGAAACTTATCTCTCCTCACTTCGTTCGAGCAACACAGACAGAGATACGTAGACAAATCCACAACAGGTGTTGCATATCTTAAAAGTGCAAAATCGATCAGCATCGGTTGATGCTGCCGTCCGTCGTTGTCGGTCTTAAAGAGAATGTTACTCGCTGTAAAATCGCCGTGACACATCGTGGACAAAGGTTCTCGCGGCTCCACCGTCTTTATCATCACTTCGTCAAATGCGTTCGAGAGTACGGCTTCTGCTTTATTGCAGAAGGTTGCGTCATAATAATCGTGTTTGCGTAGGTATTCCACTGCTCGCGTGGATGTTAAATTGATATAGGCTACGTTATCGTCTGGTATCATTTTATCGTATCTAGGCTCTCGAAGCTGCTCCACAATAGCGAAAAATTTTTCCCGCCGTAGCTCCTTCATGACGTACCCTTTACCATGGAATCGTCCTAATTCGCGAACCGCTGCCAACGTGTACTCCAAAGGAACGTTATACTTATATGGGCAGGAACGGTAACCTTGTTTATTCATATTCTCTAAAGCGATCACCGAGTCGGCAGGCGGTCGTTCATCCGTGTAGAGACACCTCGCAAAATTGTCGTTAGGTTCGGCATACGTCCGATAAAACAGGATCTCGTTGTGGAACTGAGATTCACTGCGACTGAGCTGTCTAAAGTACTCCACTTGCGATGGTCTCTTCACTATTATGGGAAGTTCCTCGGTTTGACCCTTCGTCCTGTTCTTAAACTTTACGCGTAGCAAATACATGGTGGACATAAAATTGTCGTTTCGCTCGGTTATCTCGTATCGAGCATCGTCCAGTCCGAGGTTATCAATTATTTTCGATATCATCTCGTTATCCGATTTCTGAAATTCTGAGGTGTGGAACATTCTATTCGCAGTGCGAGGTGCGAATCGTTACGTTATAAGCTTAAACTCTGCAAATGAGTGATGCACTCGGATCAGACGAGCTCGTTGTCCCGTGACTCGTATGATACTGTTATTCTGACGTAACTTCACTCGCGATTTTCCTCTACAGAGGAAGATGGCGAGTGACGTTGACTTTGTCCTATCCAGAGAGCTGCATGCAACATTGAGAGTGGGAGCCATGTTAATGAATGGTTACGTTGATCATTGTGCATCGATGTGCATCATCGTGCAGTGTGTGTTAGCAAAACTCTTAATCTTTTTTGCAGGGATCGAGTGAATTGATCACATTGTGATCATTGTGATCAATCACGAGTGATTGACAATTGATCGAGTGAAATTATCGCACATACAGAATGAGAATAATATTTAACAATATTATGTATTGCGAAATTATATTAAAAATATGATATAAAGTTGAATAGTCGGATAAAATGTTGATTTCGCAATATTTTCACAAAATGTATTAAAATTCAACAAAATTCATTCATTCATTTATTATACACAATGCTTCATAATTCGCGCGTACATAGAATGCGTGATACTCTGTACCAGAAAAAGCGACCTTTTTCTCTGGCAAATTTACGTCCGAATATAGTAATTTTTAAATAAAAGCAATTTACAGTTAACAAATGAGTAATCTGAATTTTATAGGAATTGTGCAGGTAGATGAGAAAGAGCCAGCGAGAAAGAGAGAGAGAGAGAGGGAGGGGGAGGAAGAATACTGTTTTATTTATCTGAAGATTGATAACGATGCGTAGCTAATTTAAATATTGACATTTTAAACATATATTGATAGATAGATACATATATTGATAGATTAAGAGATAAAAGTTTTCTAATTGATATCTCTGAAGTAATGGCTAAAAATAAATTAACCAAATTAAATTTAAAATATTATTTCAATGTTTTAAGGATGTTTGTAGATGGATTAAATATTTTAAAATATTATTTGTGATGCAATTTTTTTATTTGTATTAATATATTTTTTCTCCGGATGGTATTTTTTTCTGTGCGAGTTATGAATCATTAATCAATGTTTAATTAAATTGCTTTTAAGTCTTGCTTCAGAGATATCCGTTAAAAGACATATTTGTAGATTATTTATTAAATAAATTTCTTAAAATGATAATATTTAGATATCATGGTAGATATCATGGATTACATGCATTACGAAATCTTTATAGAAATAACGAAATTATCCAACGCTATCTCTAATTTATATATAATTTAGACTGTTTTATTTGCTAAATTTAAAAATTGCTTTCATTTAAAAATTCAATTTCTCCAATGTAATTTTGTCAGAGGAAAAATTACTTCTTTTTCAACATAGAGAATTACACTATGCATTTCATGTATGCGGATACTATAAAAAAATAAGAAAGAATAAAATCTTTACTAATGTCAATAATCGGTTCATTAAGAACATATCTCTGATTACGTTATCGTGTTATTACAGTTGTTGCTGTAGTGAGAACGATATGTTTGAGAATGGAAACTTAAGAATAAATGAGTTTTCATTGATTGCAGATAAGGAATACATTTTATAAATAAATTGCATGACAAATGTATTAAATAATACATGTGATCAAATGTAATCGGATTACTTTAACTTCGAAATTTTATTTCATGCGTTGCAACACGTTAGATATAGTTGATGTATCATTATTTAACGGCTTATCTCTATTCCATTTTTAAGTGAGTTTGGGAAATGATGAAATACTTTAAAATAAGAGATGAATGTCTTTTTACACGCTTCACTCTGGAGGATTAAACGGTTCATCTCCGTCTCTCTTCTTTCGCGTTCGCGGGTAGGTGACAAAAAAGACGGGGTCACGAAAGATGCTTTCGCGAACAATACGCGACCACTCGAAGAAAGCTGAAAGAAAGTAGATGAAATACGGAATGCGAAGAGTAACGAATGACTGTGAAAACTGAATGACTCAATGTAAAAGGACAAGATCGTTTTCGTGGTTTGTAACATGAGATTAACGAAGAACGTAATGGAAGGGCGACGAATTTAGCGAAAGTCCAACACTTCGCGAAACATTCGTAACATTAATGATATTTAAAGAGGTGTTATCTAAAAATTTAAATTTGAAAATTTAAAAAATCGATTTTATTTGAACCTTGTCGTATTTATTATTACAAATTTCGTTTCTTACAAATTTTTTTGAAATTACATTACTTTATAGACATAAATCATAAAATGTGTATAAAAATTAATATAAAACATATAATATTTAATTAATTATAATGACACATAATTAACATACATAATATAGTTCTGAGACAGTATAATTAATAATTTATGATAATAAAATTACATAGTTAAAGCAAAAAAAAATTATTTTTATTTTTTAATAAATTCTATTTATAAAGCTATTCAAGCATAGAACAAATTTCTTCAAGAAGATTGAATTCATCCATAAATCGGTTATATATTTTTAATTTATCTATTATTATATTTATCTATTATTTGTAATAAATATACATATAGTCTATTAGCTTCTTTATAAATTTATCTATTAATGAGGATATTTTTACTTACTTACTTATTTACTAACGATTTGTGCGCAGAAAAGTCTATTTTTCACGTGAAATACTCGTAGTACCTAATTAATTATTTATATTTTCGTTAATAATACATTATATAATTATTAAATGATAGTAATTTACGTATTTTGAAATAATACAATTATTAAAAATGTTTTAAACAACCGAGATCTCTTAAATGTAACAACATGTCAGCTAGTATCTTGGATATTTCATCACCGCCATACTGCTTCATCAGTTTCGCTCTTTCTACATATTCCAGTTTTATTATTTCTGAACCAGTTCTATCTGAATGTCCAGTTAACACACCTAAAAAAAAGGATGCAATGGCAAAACCGAAAAGAGCACCTTTCTTAAAATTGTCCAACAGAACTTCGTATGAGTATTTCTCAATATCCCAAATACCAGCCTCTAGCAAATATTCTTTTAAGGCGTTATGATAAGCTCGCATTATTTCGGAAAATTTGCCTTTTCTCAATTCATTCGAGCAGCACAAACAAAGGTATGTGGAAAGATCAACTACTGGAGTCGCGTATCTAAAATGCGCAAAGTCGATCAGTATTGCGCGATATTGTCCATCACTTTCCTTCCTGAACAGAACGTTGCTCGCTGTGAAATCGCCGTGGCACAAGGTCGACAACGGTTCCAGTGGCTTTGATACTTTCAGCATCACCCCGTCAAACGCGTTCGAGAGTAGAGCTTCCATTTTGTCACAAAAAACTGCATCGTGGCCGTGTCTGCGAAGATATTCCACCGCTCGCGGCGTAATTATGTTGACGAAATCTTTGTACGTATCCGTATCTTTGTATCTCGTCTCGTATCTAATTTCTTGAATGCGTTTCACAATATCGAAGAACTTTTCTGGCTGTAGCTCCTTCATAACGTATCCTTTGCCGTGGAATCGTCCCATCTCACGAAACGCCGCCAACGTGTATTCCAGAGGAACGTCGTAACTATATGGACAAGAGGAGTAGCCTCGTTTGCAGCCATTCTCCAGAACGATCACTTCGCAAGGCGATCGTTCATCGGCATATAAACATTTCACAAAATGATCATTGGACTGTGCGTACGTCTGGTAAAACAGGATCTCGTTATGGATCTGACGGTCGAGTTGATTCAACCGTCTAGGTATAAATTTCGATTGATTGAGACTTTTCAATACCACAGGGAGTTCTTCGATTTCTCCGTTGGTCCTATTCTTGTACTTTATGTTTATGTAATACAAAGTAGACATAGTATAGTCAACGGATTCGGATATTTCGTATCGAGCTTTGTTCAATTTAAGATTCTGAATAAGTTCTGACATCACCTCCTCGAGCCATTTCTGGACGTCTTCGATGTGCGACATTTTACTCGTACGAATAACGCGCGAACCGTTTTGTTCGAATCTAAATGCGAGAATGAGGCAACATTCGAGTGAAGTTATTATGAAAAGAAGTCAAACATTACTCTGTGTGTGTATGTGTGCGCGCGCGTGTGCGCGCGCGCGCGCGCGCGCGCGTGTGTGTGTGTGTGTGTGTGTGTGTGTGTGTGAGATTCAACTGTTAAAGCCTTATGTAAATAAAGGTTCGTGTCAAGTGTGGAAGATATCATACTCAGAAACTTATAAGTCTATACACACATTTTTATCAAATAAATTTTTTTTATTATTTAAAAAAAAAGTAACGAGCGTAAAAACTAAGTAGATAAATAAATCTTTAATATTAGAAAAAGATTTGTATATATGTAAATCTAGAACTCTGAATCGCGAGTCAATAGTAATTAAATCCTGATGAAATTTACTCAAACGTTTCGGGCTACACGGAGCCTTCTTCAGTAAGTAATACAATAAATTGATCGAAAGTGAATAAATAAAAGATCTGAATCGGTAACGGATACGCACTAACGAAAGTCGGCACACGTATAAATAACAATAACGCTTCCCCTTCTTTTTTACCGATATTGGCTCGTTATTGGCCTTATCCAACTCAATTTGTTATACATTTTACGAGCTTCGACGTTTCAATTATTTAACATTTTTTTTATTATTTTTAATATTTTTATATTTTAATATCTAATATGATTATATCTATTGTCATAAATGTAAATGACATTACATCTGTGATGTTATGGATATGATATGAAAGAAGGAAATGTTTATTAAAATGCAAATACACTAGATTTTATTATTATAAAAAAATAATGATATTTTATATTTATATTTTATACATTATATTTTATGTTTTTATATTTTATATTTTGTAATAAAAAATAACACATAATGCAAAATACATTGTACTATATTTTTATATTATAGGAACTAACAAGTACCTACTGGTTAATCTTGTTACTATTTTATAATAATAATTAACTATTCACTTATTCGATTGATCTGATTATTTTCCATTCTGTCGGGCAAATAATTATATCTAAAATTTTTAATGTAATTATAAGAGGATAATGAATTGACAAGATGTATTATGTAATGCATACTGATAAAAGTATTTAGGTTTATAATATATTAGGTTTATAATATAATTATTATTATAAAATATTTGGTGTGATGATATGTAAATCATTCACATACATCATTAGATATCTGGCCAGTCTAATTAAATAGCTTTATCAATATTTGATTATTCATTGACATAATATATATAAATAAAGAAAATGAAAAATTTAAATAATATCTTGATTGATCGTTTAATTTGATTAGGAATTGTGATATTTTTAATAAAATTGTAGATTGATTCAAACTCATATTTTTATTATTACTATACTGAATATTATGTGGAATATCTGGTTTTCTTATCTTCTATAAAGATAAACGACAAGGATAGAAGCACGAAAATCGTGTATCATAAAATTATCGTAAAAATCTGATGAAATGATGTTAAAACATAAAACGTTTTCAATAATCGTATTTGTCTTAAATAATACAAAAAGGCCAAAGTAAGTATAAAAATACGTAAATAGAGAAATAATGTAATAAATGAATAAGTGATGAAAGTAAATGAATATATATTGGAAAAAGCAAGTATTTTATATATAATAAAATATAATTAAAAAATATTTTTAATGACTTTTATGTTTTGTTTAATAAAATTTGCTTCCTTTTACTTGCGTATCTTCTAATACTAATTCTTAATGCTGGAAGATTTATTTTAATTTATATAATTATTTATCCTATAATTATCATAAACTAACAAATATTGATCTCCGCGTCATTTACGACGTAATGTTGTGTAATTATAAAAAGTCTTTTAAACAACCAGAGTCTTTCAATTGCAAGAGCATGTCAGCCAATATCTTGGATATTTCGTCTCCACCAGTTCGTTTTATCATTCTTACAAACTCCAAGTTACCCATGTTTGCTATTTGTGATCCATTCAAGCTAACGGGTTGAGGTCCTATTAGGAATGGTAAGAAATAAGATGCAATGAGAAAACCGTGCAGACTGTTTCTCTTGTAATTGTCCAGGAAAGCGTCATACGAATATCTTTCGATATTTGAAATGCCAGCCTCCAGCAAATATTCTTTCAACGCATCGTGATAACTTCGCATAATCTTGGAAAAGCAAATCTCACTTTCTCTTATTTCGCGCGAACAATTCAGATAGAGATACGTGGTAAGATCGATAGCAGGCGTCGCGTATCTCAAAATCGCGAAGTCGATCAGCATCGCGCAGTACTGTCCGTCGCCTTTCGTTTTGAAGAGAACATTATTCAATGTGAAATCACCGTGACAGAGTGTGGACAGAGGTTCTAGCGGCTTCATCAACTTCTTCAACACCCCTTCGAATGCGTTCGCCAGTAGGGCATCCATTTTGTCGCAGAAAGCTACGTCGTAGCCGTGCCTGCGAAGATACTCCACTCCTCGTGTCGCATTAACGTTGACAAGTTGCTTATACGTTTCTGTCGCCCTGAAATCTTGAAGCTGTTGCACCATGTCGAAGAACTTTTCCCGTTGCCGTTCCTTCATGACGTATCCCTTGCCATGAAATCGTCCTATCTCGCGCATCGCCGCTAATGTATACTCCAGAGGAACGTCGCATTGGTATGGAGAATGATGGTATCCTCGTTCATTGACGTTCTCCAGAGCGATTACCGAGTCGAGTGGTGGCCTCTCGTCCACGTAGAAGCATCTCGCGAAATTCTCACCCGGTTGGGAATACGTTCGATAAAACAAGATTTCGTTATGAAATTGAGAGTCACAGTCAACTATCTGTCCCACGATTTCTGTTTGTACCGGTCTCTTCAGTATTATAGAATGTTCCTCACTTTGACCTGTCGTTTTATTTTTATACTTCACAGATATATTTTGCAGAGTGGACATTAAAATATCGCGATTGTCGGTTATCTCATAATGAAATTCATCGACGTTTGACCCGAAACTTTCGATGATCTTTGACATTACTTCTTTGAGCCACTTTTGAAAATTATTACTGTCAGACATTTTGTGATATGTAAGTTATTGCTTGTTGATTATATGTGTTTTTTTTTCATATATATATATATATATAACAAAAACGACGCTCACCAAGTTGATACGAGCGTAGTTAAAATAACACTGAGTTTAGCGGCTAGTATGTAATTTGCATCTACACAAAAATCTCGATGAGAATTAATCTTATCTTGTGATGTATGTGGGTCTAACAAAGTTAGATAAATTTTGTCAAATCCACATTAAATAGACATTAAATAGATATACTATGTGATGTAAAATATTACACGAATGTTATTATAGTAATGATGTAATCATATATCTACAAAATATAATTGTATAAATGTCTATACGTACGCAATTAATAAAATATAATAAAAAATTAATTATATTAGCAATTATGATATAATCGATCAATCAATTATCAAGTAATCCTTAAGTTAGATAAAATATATAAAAAAAAAAACAAATATTTCCAAAAACTAAACTAATAAAACTAAACTAACTAATAAAAAGAAATTTATTTATATAGTTGGTATTTAAAAAAATTAGAAATGCATAAATTTAAAAGATGAAAAAGTTCTCTTTTCTGCATTAAATCTATTTTTAATGCATCTTTATACTCGAAAATTTCTTTTCGAATTCTAATCGAAAAATTCTATTCGAAAAAGTCGCTATTTGGATAACGATGTAAATAACAGAGTTATCGAGCCATGCTTATCTCTCATCATCATATAGTATTAAACGATTATTCAATAATCCATATCTGAAGAATTATGTAACCGAAAAAAATTTTCCTATTTACCTTGAGCTATTATTACTCTACACGGTCTCCTATTTTAATCACTATACTTGAATATTTTGAGAACTAAATATTGTGAGATATTAAAAGCTGATTTTTTTTAAGCTTGTATAGTTTCAAGAGAGTCACATAATTATGATATTAATTAATTTACTAATAATCTGTTTATTGTTGATATTTTTATAACAGCCATTTTTTTAATGGAT